CCCAGACCGCACGGGCAAGCGCAGCAGTAGAGAAGGTCTCAAGGTCATCAGAGGAGGGATCAGCAGGGAGGGGAGCAGGTGCGGGGGGGCGGGGGAGCAAGCCGTCGACATGGACAACCAAAGAGTGGCCATCCTGGCGCTGACCTGTAAGGTGGCGGCGGAGAGCCAGGCGGCGAAGTCAACCGCATGGCCCTCGGCGTCCAGTCGGAGCACGAAGTCTGCCATCGTGCAGGGTCAGCGGCACAGCTCCACAGGAACACAGCGACAGCCCCCTCCAGCACGGCGGCCGCGAAGCGCCTCAGCACGGGCGAGCAGAGGAGACGGAGCCCGAGGCGGCACGGCAGGACGAGCCGGGGCAAAGGGGCCAGGCAGGTGCGGTGGGGCTAGGCAGGTGCTGGCGGGGCCAGGCAGGCGCGGGAGGGGCCAGGCAGGCGCGGCGGGGCCAGGCAGGCGCGGCAGGGCCAGGCAGGCGCGGCGGGGCCAGGCAGGCGCGGCCGGGCCAGGGAGGCGCGGCGGGGCCAGGCAGACGCGGCGGGGCCAGGGAGGCGCGGCGGGGCCAGGGAGGCGCGGCGGGGGCCAGGCAGGCGCAGCAGGGCCAGGGAGGCGCTGCGGGGCCACGCAGGCGCGGCGGGGCCAGGCAGGTGCGGCGGGGCCTGGCAGGCGCGACGGGGCCAGGCAGGGCGCGACGGGGCCAGGCAGGCGCGTCAGGGCCAGGCAGGTGCACCGGGGCCAGGCAGCCGCGGCGGGGCCAGGCAGGCGCGGCAGGGCCAGGGAGGCGCGGCGGGGCCAGGCAGGCACGACGGGTCCAGGGCGCGACGGGGCTAGGCAGGGCGCGACGGGGCCAGGCGGGCGCGACGGAGCCAGGCAGGGCGCGACGGGGCCGAGCGGGCGCGACGGGGCCAGGGTGGCGCGGCGGGGCCAGGCAGGCGCGACGGGGCCAGGCAGGGTGCGACGGGGCTAGGCAGGGCGCGACGGGGCCAGGCGGGCGCGACGGAGCCAGGCAGGGCGCGACGGGGCCGAGCGGGCGCGACGGGGCCAGGCAGGGCGCGACGGAGCCAGGCAGGGCGCGACGGGGCCAGGCAGGGCGCGACGGGGCCATGCGGGCGCGACGGAGCCAGGCAGGGCGCGACGAGGCCGAGCGGGCGCGACGAGGCTAGGCAGGGCGCGACGGGGCTAGGGTGGCGCGACGGGGCTAGGGTGGCACGACGGGGCCCAGGAGGGGCGCGACGGGGCTAGGAGGCGCGACGGGGCCCAGGAGGGGCGCGACAGGGCTAGGGTGGCGCGACGGGGCTAGGGTGGCGCGACGTGGCCCAGGAGGGGGGCGACGTGGCTAGGAGGCGCGACGGGGCTAGGAGGCGCGACGTGGCCTAGCTAGGGTACGGGCGGAAGCGGTAGGTGGGGGATGCTAACCTATGCGTGATACCATGTCAAAGTGAGAACGAATGATTACTAGAAGTGGAAACCTAGAACAAATACTAGTTGGTTGTACTCACTAGAAGCATACCTCAGTCTAGCCTATAACTTCTACATAGATAATATGTATAAGTTGACAGATTACCCTTGCCAACGGCCACTTTTGGAGTATACCCTAATATTGAGAAAGCTTCCTTCTTTACTTGCAATGACATTGTCTTCATTGCTCATGGGTTTCCCTGAGGGTACGTTCCGCGCTCGGGGCAAGCCTCGAGGCGGACTCAGATGCCCCGAAGTCGGAAGACCCGAGGCTTCGGGTCCACGATGCCAACCGGCCGACGATTTGCAGGTCGACCGAACTTGACGCCGCATGTTGTCGCAGCTTTCGCGAGACCAATCAGGCCGCTCGCAATGTACAGTCACGAGGGGGGTTCGTTGCCGTAACGATAGGGGCGGAAGCCCCGAACTGATGCCCCGAGGCTCTGCCTTGAGGCTTGCCCTGAGCGCGGAACGTACCCTGAGACATGTGACGAGCGACAGGGATAGGGTTTGAAGGGCATTTCACCCTGATTACCCTTGCCAGCGGCCATTTTTTGGAGTAGACCCTGATTTTGTAAGGGTAAAAAGGTGATTTGAGGCCGAATTTTCCCCTAGGACCCCTACAAATCATGGTGAAATCATAAGATTACCCTGATTCCTAAGGGTGCCCCAAAACCAATTGCTGCCCCTGACGCGCGGGTTGATGTATGAGAGCCTGGTGGTGCAGCGGGGGTGAAGGGGCCGTCTCCACCTGGTGAAGTCGATGAGACGGTCGGATAAGGTCGTTGGTGGCGATGGTGACATACATCTCTTTGGCTCAGAGCTACGCCACCTGCCAAGGCGTTTGAACAGGCGCTCTTGGATGCCGGTGTTTGCAGCCATCGTGGTCGCCCCCTTTCGGAAAGAGAGGGTTCCAGGGCTCTAGCTAAGTTTTAGGGAAGCCTTTCTAGTCAGGGTCGCCCCCACACCCTACCCTTTGGCATCAGGGTATTGTGAAAGGCTGCCCTGATTTTTACAGGGTGTTTTCAAGTGTCACTCTTTCTGGACAGGGTTAGGATTTCTGTTCATCCGACTTGAAGTTTTGAATTGAAACGCAGTGTGCACCAAGCCGACGCATCACCTCGAACTGCTGCCAGGCTGTCAACATTCCTTGGCGACATGGCACTTGGCTGTGCATCACATCAGCACAAACATCACTGTATGCCAGTACTGTGAACGCTCGCGAAGGGCAGCGGAACCTGGTGAACGTCACAGCCAAACATGCCTGGCACTGGCCAGGCGAAGGGTATCCCGCATTTTTCGTTGCTGGCCCGCCAATCGTTCCCGATGCTCACCAGCACACTTGCAGTGCCACACACTCGCAGCCAGGCTGGCTACTCCAAGGGGGCTGGCTAGCTGGCTGGCCAGCAAATGCCCCACCCAATTCTCGTAGGTATCGATGATACAGGCGGTCTAGGGGGTTTGACATACAGTACTCGCTGGTCCAGGGAAAATGTAGGGTCGCCCTTCGCACACAGGGCGTGGGGCAAGGCTACTCTAGAATTCATAGGGTGAAACATAGCTCTGCAGTGAAAATGCAGGGGTAAAACATTTGTGAAGTCTGAAAAAACAGGGTAGCGTGCACCAATCACCGTGAAAATCAGAGCGGACAGGGTAAATCACCATGTTAACGCGTGCCCTGGTGGGTACGAGGAGCTGATCGCTTAGGCCGATCTTTGCGAACACCTCCTTGCACCAGATGCGTTGTCGTATATGAAGGAGCTTCGTCGTTCAGAGATGCCTTGGCGTGACGATCGAATACACGGATCAATGGGCCTGGGGTGAGGGGCCCGTCTTTGGCCAGTTGCGTAAATTGCTGGGTGCAGCGAACTAGACAAAAGGCCCAGGATTTGCAGCCACGGGAGCCCACACCCCGCGACCTTCCTGGTTGGTCTTGGAGCGTGGGATCAGGATCCACCTGACTTTGTCCTCGAATTGGATGTCCTCCCAGGTGATGGCTACGAGGTCCGAGTAGCGTAGGAATGCCACATACATTAGCAGGGGAATGAGGCCCTTTTGGTTTTTTTCAGGTTCAGACGAGGAAAAATAAGCCCTAGCCATGCTGTGGACCTGGTGAAGAGAGACGGGTTCCTTGACCCGAGAGGGGCGGGGACAGTGGCGTTGGGCATAGTCACGGACTTGGCTTGTGAACGGGCCAGCGACGGGACAGGGTTTGCCGATCATTTGATGTGCAAGCGTAACTGCCAAGCACGTGAGCTGTACAATGGACCACGTGGGTTGTTGTTGGGTCTCATGCAACAGGTGCAGTGCGAGGGTGGTGTCAGCAGCTGGCAGAAAGGCGAGCTTGAATCGTTCGCAAAATGTGTGAAACCTTTGCCAGTATGGGTCGTATGTTTTCATGGTGGAGTTCACCTTGCCCGGGGATTTGAGCAGGAGGAGCTGCTGCTTATGCTTGTAGCTGGGCACGTGAAACGGTTGGGGGGGTTCCGACTTCCAGGGGAGCCAATAGCCTTTTGCAAGGACAGACAAGCAAACTGCTTGGACACCACGAAGCCCACCATGGGAATGCACGCTTGAGTCGCCCACGCATTATCGTGAATTCGGCGTCGGTAACTGCTTACTCGAAAGGGTCCTGATGGGAGTCATCCCGAGAGCCTCGGTGCCTGCATTGGGCCACGAACCATGTGGGAAAATGGTATTAGCGAGCACGCTTTGATCATAGGCTCTCACCGCCCCAACCCAACGACCGTGTCCTGGCCCGAATTATTCCTTTGACCCTCACTTGCGGCTGTACATTATGGCGGGTTTGATCTCGCGCTCCCTTTCTCACCAGTTGCTCTCTCGCTCTTGCTCTCTCTCTCTCTCCCTCTCTCTCTCTCTCTCTCTCTCTCTCTCTCTCTCTCTCTCTCTCTCTCTCTCTCTCTCTCTCTATCTCTCTCTCTCTCTCTCTCTCACTCGCTCTCTCTCTCTCTCTCTCTCTCTCTCTTTCTCTCTCTCTCTCCCTCTCTCTCTCTCTCTCTCTCTCTCTCTCTCTCTCTCTCTCTCTCTCTCCCTCTCTCTCTCTCTCTCTCTCTCTCCCTCTCTCTCTCTCTCTCTCTCTCTCTCTCTCTCTCTCTCTCTCTCTCTCTCTCTCTCTCTCTCTCTCTCTCTCTCTCTCTCTCAAGCGGTCCTTTATTATGATTATAAAGGGTACAGGGGTACAAATAGGGCAATGTATGTCCTAGGGCTCCCGAGCATCCTACTGCTGCCTGGGCCACCTGTCGCAGGTAGGTTCAATGGTGGCTTCTAGTTCTCCCCAGGTAAGGGGTTCGTCTAGGGGGCGGTCATGGCTGAAAGCCTGGCCTGTCGCCTGGCCAATTTTCGCATGAAGGGTGATTGCCTGCTGCCACTGGAGGGTGATGGACCATCTCTGGTGGTAGCTATGCAGTACCTTCTTTGCCACCGCCGACTTTTCGTCGGCCTGATGGTTCCGGCGGGCTGAGAGGGCAGCCAGTACTCGGAGGAACTCGAGTGTGTCGGGGGAGCAGCAGCCATATGTCTTGGTGGCAACTCCCAACACCTTCACGAAGGTTAGTCGTTCGTCGTAAAGGTCCCACTTCTTGCCCTGCATCTCTGCCGCCATCCACCCAGTCCCCTTTCGTGCTGTTGGGTCGCGGGTTGAGACGGGGTCGATGACTGTGACGTCACAAACCCATACCGCGCCTGAGTCCGGGCATCGGAGGGTGATGTCGGCGCGGCGTTGGGCAGTTTCGGGTAAGTAGAGCGTGGATTCCATGTGGGCCACGAAGTGGGATTCTCGGGCCAGTCGCATCCCGAGGTTCACGAGTGCGTCGTGGGTCCGCTTTGGACCCCCACCCAGGGTGCATCGTAGCATGTGGTTGGGCAGCCGGTTGTCTGGTATCTCATGCTTTTTCCGGCAGTTGCATTTGCCGGGTAGGGAGTGCTGCAGGCCCATGCGGAAGGCTAGGGCCATGGCAAATTGCCCCTTGCTCATGCTTAGGTCCGGGGAGAAGGGGATGGCGACCAGCCAGTCCGCTGCCCCTGGCCCGAGCATAGAGAGGAGGCGTTGGGTGTGACCCAGGAGGGGGTTGAGTGGTATGTGTCTGGAGTCTACCACTAGCCGTGCGTGCCTGGCCCCGTGTACCTCCAGTGCTAGGGCATGCTGGAGCTTGGCGCCAGGTTCGTCGCGCGGGCGGGTGAGTGTTGACTGCGCTGTTTCGGGGAGTGCCGCTTCCAGGCTGCGGAGCAGGTGGTGTAGGGGCGTTTGGGCGGTGAAGGGCGGAGTGAGGAGGTGGAGGAGGTCGGCAAGGGGTGAAGAGTCAGGGGGTTCCATGGAGCGGAGGAGGTCACCTGCCTGGAGTGCGGAGGCCAGGTAGCTGTAGCTGCTTCCATGGCAGGGTCAATGAGGCCGAGGCCTCCTATGGTGATCGGCAGAGTCGCCTGTCGCCAGAGGAGATCTCGGCCCTCAGCGTCCCGTGGCTGCTGGAGCTCGCATGACTTGAGCGCCGCTTCCAGCAGGGACTTCCCCCACTGCGTCCATTCCTCGGGGGGGAGGAGGTCGGTGGGGGTGGTGCGGAGGAGGTAGGATGCCCTCCTCGTGATGCAGCGGGTGAGGAGCAGCAGCGCGACTTGCGGGTGCAGTTGCTCTACCAGAGGGAGCGCCGCTGCCGCTTTTCCGAGCGTGCGGCGGATGATGTCCCCGCATCCGTGGGTGGTGCCGATGGGGCTGCCCAGGGCCTTGATTGCGTCATGGGTGAGGGGTACTCCAGCGGGGATGAGCGTGGGATCCACCGGTCCGGGTGACCACGCTGCCCACTTGCTGGCGTTGCAGATGAGTCCGACCTCAGCCGCCCGTCCCGTGAGGGCATAGAAGGCGGCTGCGCATGCCGGCGGCGGGCCGATGATGGTCACGTCGTCGGCGTATGCTAGGAGGAGGACGTCTGGGTACTCCTCTGCTGTCATGCTCAACGCCGGGTGGAGGACGAGGGCAAACAGCATGGGGCCCAGCGGGTCGCCTTGCCGTACGCCCCGCTCGCTGATGAGCGGTTCAGCGCCGAGTGCGTGGTCGAGCAGCAGGCTCGATGGCCTTCCATAGGAGAGGCGGGTCAGTGGCAGCAAGCCCTTGAGCGGGCTGTTGCGTAGGGCGCGGAAGAAAGCAATGCGTTCGACAGTGTTAAACGCGTTGGAGAAGTCCACCTGGAGGAGCAGGTGTTCGGGGTGCTGTTCGAGGTGGGTTCTTGTTGCGTGCACCGCCGTTTCGCCCCCTCCCTTCATCGCCACTCCGAACTGCAGGGGCGCGAAGTGGGCTTGGGCCAGGGCCGTCGTGAGGTGCAGGTTGGCCTTGCCGAAGAGGCGTAGTAGGCACTCGCCGATGGCGATGGGCCTGGTGCTGCCGTCGGGCTTGGTGAATGCCAGTAATCTCGAGGCGGTGAGGAGGTCTGCTGCCTCAAGCGGCACTTGCCCTGCGAGTGCCGCGTTCGTCACTTCTGTGAGCAGATTCAGGACGTCAGCGTTCGACGCCGTGGCGTCCCTCAGATGTTCAAAGCACATTCCGCTGGGCCCCGCCCCAACCCCATTCGGGCTGCGTCGTAGTATGGCTTTGAGCTCCCGTGGTGTGATGTTGAGACGCGGCGGGTGCAGCGCTGGAACGGCGTCAGTGGGTGTTGTGCTTGCGAATGTCGCCCAGTTGGGGAGGGCGTGTTCGGTGGCGGGGTGTTTGTCTCGGAGGGCGTTGAGTGTCTCTAGGGTGGGTTCGCACACCGGGGTGGATTCCAGGGCTTGGAGGGCCTTCCGCGGGTTCCCGCGCTTTGTGAGTGTTTTCGCTCGGGCTGAATGCCCGGCGGTGTCGTTCGCGTGGCGTGGGGGTCGTGGTTGTGAAATCGAGGTCACGGCCTCGTCCTACAGTGACTCCCAGGCGCCAGTGGCGAATGTGCGACAGCGTCGCAGCATTCCGTCCCAAACCGGCTTCCTCGTCGACGTAGTCGCGAGGGTCAGGCGAGGGAGAAGGAGTAACAGGCGCCAACCTCCTCTGCTGTCCCTGTTATGCGCAAGGTGCAGCAGTGGTGTCAGTAGGCAGGACGCAAACTCCGCGAGGATTTCGCGCGGTAGGCAACGTGCCAGGGGTGGGAGCCTGGAGTCGCGGAGCACACTCATGTCCCACTCGCACACTTTGGCGAAAAGTTTGTCGTTCTTCGCCAACGCCAGAGGGGATTGTGCCCGTGCTGCAGGGGTTGGTCTGCAGGTGACTGCCGAGCCGCGGCGGGTGTTGGATGTGGCGGCTCGCCGGTTGGATTGGCCGGGCCGCACATTTGCGTCTCGGGCGGGGGAGTCCTCCCTCGTCTGGGGCGCCTTCCCAGTTTACCCCGATTGGAGGGGTATAAGTGGGGTCGTTTGCGTGCTGAATTTCATCGTCCTCATCATCAGCTCCCTCCGTGTTCCCTTCCGCTGCTCCCCGCGTAGCTCATCCTCCTGGTGTGTCTGCAACTGGAATATCAGCACTTAGCCATTTTTCCACCCCTCGATCCGTCCCCCTGCGTCTGCCTGCTTCCGTCCCCTTCTCTCTGCTAGCGTTGGGTGCTGCAGCGGCTGGGGTTGTTCCCCGGCGCCGTTGTTCGCGTTGTAGACGCGTGGCGACGCCGAGGAAGGTTGCTGTGCCTGTCGACGCTCGCCCGAGTCCTTGTCCGCCCCTTGTTCCTCTGTGTCCTCGGGTTGCGGTTCTACCCCGCTCTCCCCTCCGGGCCGCGGTTGTACCTGCAAGGGCTGTGGCTCGCGTGTGCGGGGCTCTGCTTCTTTCCGGCTGCGCGAGAGATGATGCAGGGGTTGCTCTTCTCCCCCTCGCGCCTGCCCCTACGCGAGGTGGAAGCGTCCCCGTCGCCGGTGGATTCTCCTTCCGGCGTCTCGCGGGCTCTGTCGCCAACGTCCCAGTTGCGCTTGGAGTTTAGGCAACAGCAGGTCCAGGTGGCAGCGATCGCGAGCGCTCTCGAGCAGCTTCTGCGGCTGCCTCGGCCCGCTGTTGGCGACCGGGTCGCGTGTTCTCCACCGTCGCCTGCGCCCGCACCCGCGATTGTACGACAGGGTTTCGGGGGAAGTCCCATGGATCGCTCCCTGCGTCGCCGGTCTTCCATGTCGCCAGCTCAGCCGTCGTCGTTTCCTTCTCCGTCTCGGCTTCCGCCGTCGCCCCTTCCGCCGTTGCCCCTTCTGGCCCCCTCGGCTCCCCCTCCGTCGACGCCGTTCTCCGGCGGTCCCCGCTCCTCTCCCCCCAGGGTCCTCCATCCGCCTCCTCTGCCTCCTCCAAGGTCGCCAGCGGGACCACCAGCCGCTGTCGGACACGACATCGTATCGGGTCAGGGCGTGTCCGCGGGGCCCCCGTCATTGCCGTTTTGTCCAACGAAGCGTCCCCACGGGGGCGCCGCGGCGGGCTCTCGGGCAGGGTCACCTCAGTCCGTGCTGCCCGGAAGACAAAGGGACCGCTTTCCGCCTCTCTCCGGTCGTCCTCAGGGGTCGGGTTTGCGGGCGGGGCGGGGTATGCTGCCGACATCAACGGCTGCGCTCGGCGACCTGCCGCCGCTTCCTCGTCCACCGGTTCATCTGACGCCGCCGCAGGCGTTCTCGCCAGTTGAGGCGATGGCCGGCGTCGTCGCATGTATTGGCGCGGTGGCGGAGGTGCTGGACTGTCTCCGCCCACCGCCGCTGTAGGTACCTCCCCGAAAACCTGAGGCGGGTCGGTCATGGCGGCCTGCGATGTCTCGCCGCCAGCAGCGACGCGCGATGAGGCTGCGTCGCTACTCCTCTGCTGGCTGGCCTATGGGTTGCCGCCAGGAGCAGAGGCGGGGGAGCTGGATCCTGCTCCTCGCGCTGTTGATGAGTTGAATCGGTCGCTCGTAGCGAATCAGCGCCCGGCGATCTTGGCCGCTTGCGCGGCGGTGCTTCGGGCTTTGGAGAGTCGGGCCGGGGTCCTTGTTGTTGGTGCAACCCTATGGCTTGCACTCAGCTTGTCGTCCTTGTTTGTGTGTGTGCATGCATGGCATGGAATGAATTGTGAGTCTATGTCATTGCTATCCAGTGCTTGTGTGTGTGTTTGAATGGTGTATCACAATGTGGTTTGTGTCGGTCAAGACATTAGCGAGTTTCTACAACTCGCATGTCAAGTCGTCGTTTGTGTGTCGCATGTGTTTTTTCTATTTTGTCGAGTGTGAAGTGTCCATCGTGTCGCAGGTGTGTGCAGCAAGCCCCCATCAACTCAAGAAGAATTTATCTTGCAGATCCAAGAACAAGAGCTCAAGATTTCAAGCCCAAGGGACGCGGATAAATATTAAATAGTGAAAATAGTAACGTTACTTCGTGTAGTGTTACATTTCACTTGGTGTAGCCCCTTGGAGGGTTGGTTTCGAGACTCTTCATGGTTGGGGACTCTGTGGTGGTGTAACACCAACCTGGACCTCGGCTCTTGGGGTACGTAGAGGCTGAGAACCATCTCCCTCTCGAACTCTTCTTGCTAAGTTTGTACTCCTAAGACTATAGTGGCTGTTTTTACCTCCTGCCAGTCAAACCGCCATAGCGTCGTCAAATCTTCATCAAATTTCATGATTCAACTTGCTGCTGATAGACGACATCAACGCGCTCCAGATCCAAATTACAGATCACCGTTTGACTCAGTGACCAGATCCTTATCTATATTTGAAGCCGTCAGACGGAAATCCGACTGTGCTCTCTATCTCTCATTATAGGCACATCTAAGCCTATTGTGATTATAACAAGTGGTATCAGAGCCCCTTGGAGCCGTCTCGACCATGCCTAGACCTGAGGAAGGGGTTGGCAGAGGTGCTGGAGGCAGAGAAGACGCCCAAGCACAAGGTCAACACCAACATCCACCCGTTGCTCCGGTGCAACCTAGCCTTGGACCCTCTAGGGATGAGCCTAGAGTGTTTGGCCTTGACAAGTTCAACGGTGACAACTTTGCTGAGTGGTCCTTCAAGATGGAGAACATCTTTGACCATTATGATCTGCTGGAGGTGATGGAAGGAACGGAGAAGCGCCTCGAGAACGACCCGGAGAAGAGCCCGTGGGTGCGGAAGAGCGCACAAGGCTACCTTCTACTTGGGCAAGCGTTGGGGAGCAGCCAAATCCGTCACATCAAGCCTTTTCAGCGTGAACCAGCAAAGGGACCAAAGGCATGGGCTGCTCTCAAGGGGGTACACGCTCCTGCAACAGCGGCGGTGGCTGTGGTTTTGGAGCGGCAAATGGCGGCACTTCGAATTGACGAAGGCGAACCGGTGGAGGAAGGAGTGCAGAAATTCTTCGACTTGTTGACACGGCTCGAAGGAGCTGATCTGAACTACAGTGACCTTCAAAAGAAGAACAAGCTGCTGGCCTTACTTCCGGACTCATGGTCCTCGCTCATCATCAACCTAAATCGAGATCTGCCCCGTCTCTCACTCGAAGATGTGAAGCGGGAAATCTTACAAGAAGATTTCCGCCGTCGCGAATTGGCGGGTCCCGATGGTGCCGGAGTTGCAAGCATGGGCCGTGGGCATGGCCGTGGAAGGGGCAAAGGGCGAGGAGGCAGATTTGGCAGCAGAAACTTCAATGGAGGCCGTGGTAATGGAGGATATGGCAGCAACAACAATGGCTACGGGCGTGGGCGCGGTCGATTTGATGGCGAATGCCACTTTTGCCACAAGACCGGCCACATGTGGAGAGATTGCTTCAAACTACCTGATGGCTGGACCCCCTCTCAAGACCAAGAGGGCAGAGGAGCAAGGGGAGGAAGAGGCAGAGGTCGTGGAGGCCGTGGTGGCCGTGGAGGCGAAGCGGCAAGCATGAAAGGTGGAGACTACGACAAGGACTCGAGTGAAGATCGATACCCGGGCCAATTCTTCTTTGTCTCCACGCAAGCGGCAGCTGCAGCAGGAGGTGTGGAAGGCTTTGAGGAGCCAGCTACTGTCGGAAAGGTCACCCTTCACTCTCTGGACTTTTGGGTGATCGATAGCGGCGCCACCTATAGCATGACACCTCGTGCGGACTTGCTCACCGAACTCGAACCGTCGCCGGTCAAGCATGTTACATCGGCTTTGGGGCAGCGAGCAGAGGTGAAAGGCATGGGCAAGGCCATGTTCAAGGGTGCTGATGGGAAGATGGTGGGCCTCAAGAACGTGCTTTGGGTGCCCAACCTAGCAGCCAACCTGATCTCAGTTCGGCGTTTGCAAAAGGCCGGCATGGACACATCTTCCAAGGGTTCGAAAACATATACCGCGAGGCTTGGTGAGCGGAAGCTTTGGGACCTTCATGAGGACAGGGACATCTACAAAGAGATGTGGCAAATCCCAGTGGTCCCCATGCCTAAGGGGAGGCAAGTGGCAGCAAGCGTCAGCACCAAGAGTGAAGCGGTTGGTGGCGGTGATCACGGAAAACAAAGTGACACCAAGAGTGACTCGAAGGAGTGCAACCTTGGAGAGACCAGCAAGGCGTGTGAACCCAAGGAGAATGGTGCAGCAGCCAAAGGTGGTGGAAATGAGGAGGATAAGCCTAAGATCAGCAAAGCAGCAGCGGCAAAGGAGAAAGGAGAGAGCTTGTGGGGCACGATTGCGAGTGCCGCTTTCTCCAACCCGACTTCCGCTACGGGAGAGTGTGATTGGCTGACCTTGCATCGGCGAATGGGGCATGTGGCATTGCCCATTTTGCAGCAGATAGTTAAGCAAGAGATGGTCAGTGGGATACGTGTCAAGGGGGAGCCCAATGAGGTGCTTGACTGTCCAACATGCATGCAAGCCAAGTTCACCCGCTACCCGTTCCATAGCTCGGAGACAACGGCGAAGGCACCACTTGATGAGGTGGTGATGGATGTGGTGGGCCCCTTGAAGCTTGGAGCTGCTGGAGCTGAGTACTTCCTCACCATTGTGGACGTCTATACTCGCATGACTTGGGTGTATGTGATGCCGAAGAAGAGTGATCTAGCTGAAATGGTGAAGACCGATTGGTTGCCGATGGTGGAGCGGCAACAAGACCGACTTGTGAAGGCGATTCGCACTGACCGTGGGGGAGAGTTCCTGAGCAAGGATTTCTCAACTTGGCTGAAGAAGCAGGGCATAAGGCACTCTCTTACCATGCCCTACTCTCCTGCAATGAACGGCATCGCCGAGCGTGCGAATCGGACACTCACGGAGACGGCTCGGGGACTTCTCATTGAAGCCGGTCTTCCCAATTACTTTTGGCCGGATGCGGTGCGGCATGCTTGTGTGGCCAAGAACAGAGCCTTGGCTCATGTGGGAGAAGACAAATGGGTGCCCTATGTGGAGTGGATTGGAAGGAAGCCGAAGGTGGATATGCTTCGGGTGTTCGGGTGCATGTGCATGGCACTTGTGCCTAAGAAACTTCGGCACAACAAGCTTGATGCCAAGGCAACATGGGCCGTGCACCTGGGCATGGCTCAAAACAGCAAGGGATGGCTTCTATGGGACCCATTTACCAAGAAGTTCTTGGTGAGCAGAGATTGCAAGTTCATGGAGAAGTTACCGTACAAGGAGTGGAAGGCGGAGAACCAAGCGAAGATTGGTGTGCGGCTTGGAGAGGTGAAGAGTAACGGCTTGGAGCATGTGGAGCTGCCCTTGGAGCTGAATAGCAGCAGCACAGTCACGAGGCAATCTCCTCAAATGAATGGGGATGAGGAGGAGGAGGAAGAGCAGCAAGGTGATGAGCGTGCACCGTCACTTCCGCCTCGTGCTACAAGTGCTCGTGGGAACCGACCAGATTTACCGCAACGCCATGAGAGCATTCAAGTCCCTGCAGCAGAGGAGGAAGGAAGGGGGAGAAGGAGGACTCAGCCCCCTAATAGGTTGAGCTATGATCGGCTTGGAGGACCAGCCAACTCAACCTTGACCGGTTCGGCTCTCATGCTAGGCGATGATGCGGAAGATGAAAGCGAGGAGTGCGCCTTTGCCTTCTTCTCTCCGGTCGAGATGCCGGGGGAACCTACAAATCCCAAGGAGGCTTGGGAGGGCCCCAATGGGAAGGAGTGGAAGAAGGCCTCAGATGAAGAGATGGGGAGCATCATCGAGAACGACACGTTTGACTTGGTGAACCTACCTCCGGGGCGTAAGGCGATCTCTTCCAAGTGGCTCTTCCAGCGCAAGACCGACGCCGACGGCAACATCGAGTGCTACAAGAGCAGACTTGTAGCCAAGGGGTATCAGCAGCAAGAGAAGAAGGACTACAATGAAGTGTATGCCCCTGTGGTGAAGGGTACAACCCTTCGAACCCTCTTCGCCGCGGCGGCCATCAAAGGATGGGTGGTGAAGCAAATGGATATAGTAACGGCCTTCCTCAACGGCGTTTTGGAGGAAGAAACCTACATGGAGCAGCCAGAGGGGTACAATGATGGGAGTGGCAGAGTGTGGAAGCTAAAGAAAGCACTCTATGGCCTCAAGCAAGCCCCTAGGCAATGGTACATCAAGCTGCGGGAAGTCTTGGAGGCGATCGGCTTCACTCCCTCATCGGCGGATTAATCCTTGTTCATGCTTGGCGAGGGGGAGCAGAGGAGCTTCATGGTGGTTTATGTGGATGACATCCTCATATTCTCACCCTCCTCTGACCTTGTGAAGGAGGTGATGCTGAAGCTTCAAGACAAGTTCAAGTGCAAGACCCTTGGTGACGTCAACTACTACCTTGGGCTTCACATTGAGCGAGATGTGGAGAAGCGGTGGATGCGAGTGCATCAAAAGAAGTACTTGGATGCATTGGCTGCAAACTTTGGGAAGAGTGAAGGTCATGTGGCTACTCCTCTTCCCTCGGGGTTCAAGTGTGTGAAAGGACCAGCGGAGTAAAGTGTTAGTGAAGAGGAGAGGCGCCGTTTTCACTCCTTGGTGGGCAGCCTCATGTATGCGGCCGTTCACACAAGGCCGGATGCAGCCTTTGCTACCGGGCAGCTGGCTAGGATTGTCCAATGCCCTAATGAAGAGCAGGTAGCAGGTGGAGAGAGAGTGGCCAAGTACCTTGGCCAAACAGCAACTGTTGGACTGCAATACTCCGCGGCGGCACAAAGGTGTCAAAAGGGGGCGGATGGAGTCGAACGCGGGAGGCTCTTTCTCACCGCCTTCTCTGATGCATCTTGGGCATCAGAACCAGAGGACATGACAAGTGTGGGAGGCTTCATCTGCTGTGTTGGTGGAGGGCCAACAGCTTGGGAGAGCAAGAAGCAAGTGGACCAAGCATTGAGCTCGGTGGAGTCCGAATACATGGCACTCTTCCGTGCCATAAGAGAGGTTGTGTGGCAGCGGCGTTTGCTAGCTGAATTGGGGGAGGAGAAGCAAGGACCTACCCCACTCTACTGTGATAGACAGGGTGCTATTGCATTGGCTAAGAACCCCGTTCTTCATGGCCTTACCAAGCACATGAAGGTGAAGTGGCATTGGGTGAGGAGCATGGTAACCGCGGGTGAAGTGGAGTTGCACTACGTGAAGACGACGGCGCAGCCAGCTAATATGATGACCAAGCGGCTGGTTGAGCAGCAGCATTGGAAGTGTTGCAAGCTTGCTGGGATGGCTCTGAACTAAGGGGAGCAGATTCTAAGGCCAACAATCCGAGGGGGAGTTTGTTGGTGCAACCCTATGGCTTGCACTCGGCTTGTCGTCCTTGTTTGTGTGTGTGCATGCATGGCATGGAATGAATTGTGAGTCTATGTCATTGCTATCCAGTGCTTGTGTGTGTGTTTGAATGGTGTATCACAATGTGGTTTGTGTCGGTCAAGACATTAGCGAGTTTCTACAACTCGCATGTCAAGTCGTCGTTTGTGTGTCGCATGTGTTTTTTCTATTTTGTCGAGTGTGAAGTGTCCATCGTGTCGCAGGTGTGTGCAGCAAGCCCCCATCAACTCAAGAAGAATTTATCTTGCAGATCCAAGAACAAGAGCTCAAGATTTCAAGCCCAAGGGACGCGGATAAATATTAAATAGTGAAAATAGTAACGTTACTTCGTGTAGTGTTACATTTCACTTGGTGTAGCCCCTTGGAGGGTTGGTTTCGAGACTCTTCATGGTTGGGGACTCTGTGGTGGTGTACCACTAACCTGGACCTCGGCTCTTGGGGTATGTAGAGGCTGAGAACCATCTCCCTCTCGAACTCTTCTTGCTAAGTTTGTACTCCTAAGACTATAGTGGCTGTTTTTACCTCCTGCCAGTCAAACCGCCATAGCGTCGTCAAATCTTCATCAAATTTCATGATTCAACTTGCTGCTGATAAACGACATCAACGCGCTCCAGATCCAAATTACAGATCACCGTTTGACTCAGTGACCAGATCCTTATCTATATTTGAAGCCGTCTGACGGAAATCCGACTGTGCTCTCTATCTCTCATTATAGGCACATCTAAGCCTATTGTGATTATAACACTTGTCCCACAGTCGGCGTTGGAGGTGTAGTAGGTGGGCGGTAGTCTGGCGTGTAGGCCAGGTCCCCGCCATTGTGCGCTGTGGGTGGCGCCGTAGCCATAGGCTGTTTGCTAGGTTGTAGCCTCACGTGGAGGCATGCTTGTATGCTGTAATGTCCCTGGTTTTGGAGTGGATACCTGTCCCGAAGGCCGCCGGCGCGAGCGCCGCTGCAGGAACCCGAGGAAGAACTCAACTCGAAACTAAATAATGAACTCTAGGATGGGTGGGAGGGCATTATATACCATGGGATCCCTCTCTCTCTCTCTCTCTCTCTCTCTCTCTCTCTCTCTCTCTCTCTCTCTCTCTCTCTCTCTCTCTCTCTCTCTCTCTCTCTCCTTCTCTCTCTCTCTCTCTCTCTCTCTCTCTCTCTCTCTCTCTCTCTCTCTCTCTCTCTCTCTCTCTCTCTCGCTCTCTCTCTCTCGCTCTCGCAAGCGCCACTGCAGGAACCCGAGGAAGAACTCAACTCGAAACTAAATAATGAACTCTAGGATGGGTGGGAGAGCATTAATGGGCTCTCTCTCTCTCTCTCTCTCTCTCTCTCTCTCTCTCTCTCTCTCTCTCTCTCTCTCTCTCTCTCTCCCTCTCTCTCTCTCTCTCTCTCTCTCTCTCTCTCTCTCTCTCTCTCTCTCTCTGTCTCTCTCTCTCTCTCTCGCTCTCTCTCTCTCTCGCTCTCGCGAGCGCCACTGCAGGAACCCGAGGAAGAACTCAACTCGAAACTAAATATTGAACTCTAGGATGGGTGGGAGAGCATAATATACCATGGGCTCTCTCTCTCTCTCTCTCTCTCTCTCTCTCTCTCTCTCTCTCTCTCTCTCTCTCTCTCTCTCTCTCTCTTGTGTTCCCTCTCTATCTCCTTAGGTCCCTTGCTCTATTCTTCCTTGTTCTTTGTATAAAATTAACACACGTCCACGTGTAATATTATCTATGACGCTGCGTCCTCCCTCATCGGGATTGGGTGGGCAAGGATCCGGCTTCGTACCGAGGCATTGCATGGCCCCCTCCGCCCCCCTAGCCCCCCTCTTTTTTGTTCCTCTTCTTTAAGAAGCTTTCCATCTCCCGGTGCCAAACAATCCAATATTAAAAAGCAGAGAAATCCATTAGCAACCAAAACATACATCAATGGCCTTCAAGCCTTTCCACAAACACAAGTGCCTCGTGCTACTATCCCTTTGTCTAGGACAAGTGAGCGGACCCCCCGGTCTTAGGTCCCCTGGTCCTACCCCTCCTAGGCGCTGGCCCTTGGCCATGCACTCCTTAGTGCCACACAACTGCCCTTTCCATAGGCCAAGCTGCCGGGCAGAAGCCCTCCGTGCCACCTTACACCACGGGGGCAGGGCCTTGGCCCCCATGACCACCCGAAGGGCAGGCACTAGCCATGTGTCCAAGCTGCTCGCAGCGGAAGCAGGTGCCCTTGAAGCCCCTGGTGCCGCAGGCAGTGGGAACAGCAGCCTTGGAGGTGAACGGGGCACTCTCCCGCGTGTCACCGCGAGCGACGCGAGCGTAGGGACTAAGCACCCATTTGGCCGCCGCCACGTCGGCCGCCGCTTGCTTGAATGGGCGGGAAGTCAGAATGGACTTGGCGTAGTACAGCTGGTAGCGGTCGGCATGTCAAATCTAGCGGCGTCGGCCACCTGCAGCACCTCGAAGCGTTTCATGATGAGCGCTTGGCCTTGAGCGAGGTGGTTGAGGGCGCCGTCGACATCACCGTGGCGCGCCTTGAAGTCGGCATGCTTAAGGTAAGCAAGCAGGGCCTCAAAAACCTCGGCCTGCTTGCGGACGCCTTTGCGGTTGAAGGAAGCTGCAACTACGGCCGGAGTAGACGCGGGGAGAGGAGGGAGGTGCTCGAGGGAAATAGGAAAATGGGAAGCGATAGGGGCCTCACCATTTTCACTGTCGTTGTTGTTGTTGTCTTCATGTGCGTCTTCAGGAATCTCTGGTGCGGGGTTGGGTGGTGTGTCGGCGTGGTGGGGTGTCTTTCGCGGGGCGAGTCGGAGCGGGAGAAGCTTCGTGCATCTTTTCCGTTTTTGCAGAAGTATTCATATCAGCGTTGGAAACGGATTGGGTTACGGCCGCCTGCTGTTGTAACAACACCAGAAATGCTGCTATCGGTCCGGGGAGAAGGTTGGGAAGGTCGGAGCTGGGGTGGGTGTCACCTGAGCAGGCGCGTGCCGAAGCCAGGCGGCAAGTCAGACGCGGCCGGCATGATGTCAGCCACGTCTGGCATTTTCTCGCCAGCTGCGCGTGGGGCGGGGGGCTGCTCTCGCTCTATGCGCCGCTGACTTGGACCAGGCGCAGGAGACGGAGGGGTGCCACTCGGCTCTCCTTAGAGGAGCATTTCGACAGTAGGAGGAGGGTCAACAGAATTGTTGACCTTCTTCTTTCCGCGACGGTCGGGTTCCCCCGGTTTTTTTCCGGAGTCGGAAAAAGGACGGGCGGTAGTATTCGTATCCCCGTCACGGTTGTCATTGTTGGGAGCTATCACCACCAGGTTGTGGTTGAAAATGTCTATTAGGAGACTTGAGAGAGAATGAAAGCAGGGAAGGGTTCGGAGCTTTGAAAACTGACGGGCAAAACTGAACTTTTGAATATGAAAATGTGGTTGAGGCCAAATGGCCGAACAACCACTTTTTGTAGTTGAAGAGGGGCGTGTAGCGCTTTGACGCTGCCTTCTTGTGCTGCGTACAAGCTGCTGCGCTTTCACAATAAGACATTTTAGAAAGTGTTACACTTTCGAGAACATAAACTTTGTAAGGGTAAAAGAGTGTTTTTGGACCGGATTTGCCCCTGGCACCCTTACAAATCAGGGTGAAATTGTCATTCTAACCTGATTCCTAAGGGTGCCCCAAAACCAATCTCGGGCCCTGGTCCTACCCCCCATTTTATGTTTTCAGTGGCACACACCCATAAAATTTTGTCTAAGTTCTCCGCAACTAGTCACATCCTAACAATTACGGTATATCCATCTCCTAGTTAGAGTATATTTGTTAGTATATCCTAGCTAGGTCAGCTCTTAGAGAGGATAACACCCTACACTCGTATCTCCCATCCTCCCTTCCTAGTCCAGCTTTTCTCGCTATTTTGACATGGCATCTGGAGCTAGGTTAGGTCCCACCTACTCACGCTTCCGCCCCTAGCTACTTAGAGTAAATTCTGCACCTCGGGTCTGACCCGAGGTTGACTCGCAGCCTAAGGAGCCGGGGTTTAGAGGCTCAATCTTGGGTCTAGTGAATTTGACGGTCGTGCGCCTACAGAGGTGCAGAAAATCCCAAAACGAGTTGACGATGTACATAAAACCGCACAGAGTTGTCGCAAAAGCGAATTGGGAGGTGTACATTGGTGGGCGATGCACTTGTGCCACTTCTAGTCTGGTAGGTTTTTCTGCGAACGGTGTGTTTCCAGTCAAGTAGCCGTCGGGAGTCGTAAGACCCGAGGCAATTTCTTTCCACCTCGGGTGTTCCCGTATGACACTAGTGTCAGACACGAGCTCCGGAATTGACCCTTAGCTCGCGCCCCCAGCCGCCCCTAGTCACCACATTCCCGGCCGTTGTTAGCTCGCGCGCCCCTTCCCAGCTCGCGAACCCGCCGCGCCAGCCAGTGTCAGCCCGCGCAGACCAGCACCAGCCCGCACCTGCCCGCCCGCCCACTGTCCGTCGCTCCGCGCCTCCTCCTAGCCGCTTGCCCGCCTCGCCTGCTGGCCGCTTCCCGCTTGCCAGCCAGCAGCCGCTAGCTCGCCGCCGCCAGCCAGCAGCAGCCAGCTCACAGATTGCTGCCGCCAGCCAACAGCAGCCAGCTCGCAACTCGCCGCTGCCAGCCAGCAGCCGCCAGCTCGCAGCCGCCAGCTTGCCACCAGCTCGCTGCCGCCAGCCAGTAGCCGCCATCTCACACGTCGCCGACGCTAGCTCGCGGCTGGCACGCCACCCGCAACACTCCACCGGCGCCAGCACTAGGCGTCAGTGCTAGGCGCCTGCACCAGCAGCCCGCCGCCAGCCGCCAGTGCCAGCCGTCGCCTGCCGGCCCATACCAACCAGTGCCAGCTTGCGCCAGCCCACGCCAAGCAGTGCCAACCTGCGCTTGCCCGCCATGCGGCCCGCCTGCCGCCTGCCCCTCACTTGTAGCCTGCCGCTGCCGCCACCAACTACCTGCTCCCCCAGTC